TATAATGTAAATACAAATATATACTGCTACTACATAGCAGGGTGAGGGTTGAACACACCATGAACACCAAGCCTTGATTAAGGGCTTGGGACTTTGAGCCCCAGCTCCCAGCATCTGGAGAGAGAAGACAGGCTATGGAGAGTGAGTTAATCACCAGTGGCCAGAGATTTCATAAATTGTGTCCATTGAATGAAATCTCCACGAAAACCCTTGAAGACCCAATTCGGGGGGTGTCCAGGTGGGTGAACGCCTACATCCAGGTGCTAGAAGGTTGGCGTGTCCGGAGAGGAGGGGGCAGCTCTGCAAACCACCCCCCCCCCACTCCCCTTAGGCGTATGACCACCTGACTTGGCATCACTACCTCTTGTCTGTGTCATGTAAGTTACCGCACATGATGGCACATGGAGGGGATCCAAATGTGTGGGCGGCCGAGCAGAAGTGTCACAGCCAGCGTCCGAAGTAGGGGCAGTGTGTGGGACTGAACTCTTCACCTATGGAGTCTGATGTGGACTCTGGGTGTTAATGTTGTAAGTGAATTGAACTGTTAGACACCCGTTTGGTGACATAGAATTGGAGAAGTGGTGTTGGGACAGACATCACATATTTGGTGTCACGAGGGGGAAAAAAACCTCGTCATCCTCAGAAGAAGCACTCCACCTTCTGGAGGTGATAAGGCTAGAAGGGACTTAAGTTGGCTGTTTCCCTCCTCCCAGGTCGAATAGGCCTTGGGACGGTCCTGGTCACTTATACTCTTGTGAAATAGATTGTCTTCAGGATGGGCCTTGTTGAGAAGCATAGAATATTATGGACCTTTTTCCCTTTTTTTTTTTTTTTAAAGTAGGCTTTACGCCCACTTGGGGCTTAAACTCACCACCCTGAGATCAAGACCTTAGCTGAGATCAAGAGTCAGTGAACTGTCTGAGCCACCCAGGTGCCCCGTACCTATCTTTAAATGACTACTTTTTATCTCTGTAATTTGAGAGAGAGGAAAACACAGAATCCGAAGCAGGCTCCAGACTCCGGGCTCTGAGCTGTCAGCACAGAGCCCGACACGGGGCTCGAACTCACAAACCAGGAGATCATGACCTGAGCTGAAGTCAGGTGCTTAACTGACTGAGCCACACAGGCGCCACTCTAAGGCTTTCTAAGCAGTCTCCGGCTTCCTAATGTTCATTCTCTTCTGCACACTAGATAATAGGACTTTTTATGAACGTGCTCTGCAGTTCCATGGTGGAAAGAATAATTATGACTGACCAGTTCATTACTGGTCATGAGGCACCTCATTACTCCCTGAGAAATGTTCCTCATTTGCTGTCACTCTACTGAATCCGTCCATTCTAGCATTAGAATTGCTGGGTGGGACGTTTTCGCTGTTCCCTAGACATGGACATCATTGAATTACTGATCTCTTTCACGGACCAGCATTTAGGGGAATTAATCCGTTGAGGGATTCCTGTGCTTGGATAGACTGTTGTCCTGCCTTCCCAACAGAGGAACTCGGAAATGAGAGAAGTTGGGAGGAAAGCCTCTCAAATGGCTGGTTGGGTATCCGTTGCACCAGGAATCAGAAAAAGGGGATTTGATGAGATTTTTGGACTCTGTGTCATAATCCCGTACACATACATCTTCAGTACTGGTGTGGAATTCAACGAAGTCCCTTGCAAACTCCAGGCCTTCACGTGTTCCTCAAGGTCACAAGGCCCTGGTCAGTTATGATTCTGTCAGAAAATCTCTTCTGGTCTGTGTGCCTTTGTGTCCTAAAAATTAATGGGAGGCAACCCTGAGACTCGTTAGTATATGGATTTTGGGGATGTCTAAGTTGTCATGTCTTTTACTCCCGTCTGAGTTGAGTCCTCCGAATATCATCCTGGTCCGTGAAATGAGACCAGAAGGCACGGAAGGCAAAACTGATTTCCGTGATAAATATTATACAAATGAGAATTGTACTCTTCTATGAGAGTATTGTTGTTCATCTAGCTGGATATGACTGAAATGGCCTGCAGGACGTTAGGACATTATGGCCAGCTCGATCTTTCGATAGTTTGGATCCTCCTGGCTCCTCATGTTTGGGGATGGGAATAGGAGAAAAAGCTTCCATTTTTTTTTTTTCCTGTTTTTGTTCATAAAACATCGTGCACTTATGACCCCAGGCTTCATGGAGTAGTACCTGATGTGGTTATTTAAGGAGATGAAAGTTTTTCTCACAAAGAATTGATGGTCTTAAGATGGAAATATTTCTTCCGATTCTGTAGCGTTTCTCCAAGGTGTTCTGTTCCCTGACAGTAGAGAGCAATGAAGATTTGAAGTGATCACCGTAAAAATGTAGCAGTAAATTCCGTGTGTTCGTGATGCTGTTAAATTCATGAGGACGTGAGTGTGGCCAGAGAGGAGGAGTCTGAGAACCAAGTCGTAGAATAAATGTTGAGAAGTCAGGGTCGTATGTGAATTTCTTACGAATTGAGTATAGATCGCCAGTTCTGCCCGTCTTACCCATCCCCCTGTACACATGTATGGGATGTTTTAGGACTCAGTGGCCTTTGAGGATGTGACTGTGAACTTCACCCTGGAGGAGTGGGCTCTTCTGAATCCTTCCCAGAAGAAACTCTACAGAGATGTGATGCAGGAAACCTTCAGGAACCTGGCCTCAGTAGGTAGGGATGACGATATTCTTATTTGCTTGGTCAATATTCTTATTCACTTAATCAACTAGGGAGCCAGTGTTGCTTGTTTATCGGTGCTGTTTCGAGAGGTTAAGTACGGAAAGCAGATACGTTGGTAAATGAAGCAGCCGTGGTGACGGTTCATCAGGGACATAGAAACTAAAATAATTTTAGTATTTTTTTATAATTGATTTTTCCTGGTCTGCGTTGTAGGAGACAAATGGGAAGATCGTAACAGTAAAAGTCTGTATGAACATGAGACAAATCGAAGGTGAGTCCCACTCATATGAGAGCAGTGTCCCTGGGGGTGCCTGGCCAACTCAGTTAGTAGAGAGCATGCAACTCTTTTATGTTATTTTTTTTTTAACATTTTTTTTAATGTTTTATTTATTTTTGAGACAGAGAGAGACAGAGCATGAACGGGGGGAGGGGCAGAGAGAGAGGGAGACACAGAATCAGGCTCCAGGCTCCGAGCCATCAGCCCAGAGCCCGACACGGGGCTCGAACTCACGGACCGCGAGATCGTGACCTGAGCTGAAGTCGGACGCCTAACCGACTGAGCCACTCAGGCGCCCCTCTTTTATGTTATTTTTTAAAAAAACTGTTTAATGTTTATTTTTGAGAGAGAGAGAGAGAGAGAGGTGCGGGGAGGGGCAGAGAAAAAGAGGGAGACACAGAATCTAGAGCAAGCTGCAGGCTCATGAACTGGGAGACCTTGACCTGAGCCGAAGTCAGACGCCCAACTGACTGAGCCACCCAGGTGCCCACCCCCCACCTTCTTAATGTTTACTTAAAAGTAAATAAATAAATTAAAATAAAAAAAAGAGTGTCCCATGAGAGCATGTTTGTCATGAAATTAAAACAAGCAAATAAAACAAATCAGACCAGTTTTCAAGTCTGTTCGTTTTTCGGATATTTTCATCAAGAATTTTTGCTGTAATGTGACCCAGATGTTCAACGTGTGAAAAATAGTACACGTGGAAAAATGTCTTCAGAAACCCCATTGATGACCATCTCTTTTGATAAGAGCTGCGATCGAGTCCTCTCGCAGAATGCCCAGCACACGTTCACTTCCAGACGACCAGCACGAAACACATACACGGTGTTTTTGGGGAAATGGCGGGAAAAAAAAAAGTCTCATTGCAATAATACAGTGAATGCGAAATTCCTAATAAACCGTTAATAACCTGCTTCTCCTTTCTCCGGCAGGCGCGTGGTAGAGAGTCCCTGTCAAAGTAAAGAAGGTAGTCCGCGCGGAGACCCCCGCCGCCAGAATCCAAGTCCTAAGCAGATAAAGAAGATTTCTACCAGAATCAAACTCCGTAAATGCAGTTTCTGTGGACAGGTGTTCAGGCATCATTCATCCTTCAGCAGGCACATGCTCTCCCACACTGGCCACAAACTGTACGAGTACCAGGAATACGAAGAGAAGCCTTATAAGTGTAAGGAGTGCGGGAAGGCCTTCAAACATCGCCAGTCCATCCGCGTACACGTCAGGACTCACACCGGCGAGAAACCTTACAAGTGCCAGCACTGTGGGAAAGCCTTCAAGCACTGCCAGTCCATTCGCAAGCATGAAAGGATCCACACCGGCGAAAAGCCCTACGCGTGCAAACAGTGCGGAGAAACGTTCCAGTATCGCCACAACTTCCAGAAACACGAGCGGACGCACACCGGAGAGCAGCCCTACAGGTGTAAGCACTGTGGGAAAGCCCTCAGTTGTCTCAGCTACTGCCGGGTTCACGAGCGAACTCATACCGGCGAGAAACCGTACGAGTGTAAGCAATGTGGGAAAGCCTTCAGTTACGCCAGTTACATCCGAATACACGAGAGAACTCACACCGGAGAGAAGCCCTATGAGTGCAAGAAGTGTGGGAAAGCCTTTAGTTGCCCAAATTACTTTCGAAAACATGAGAAAACGCACACCGGGGAGAAACCCTACGAGTGTAAGCAGTGCGGTAAAGGCTTCAGCTGCCCTAGATCCTTCCGCAGTCACGAGAAGAGACACCGGGGCGAGAAGCCGTACGAATGTAAGATATGCGGTAAAACCTACAGCTGCCCCGTGTACTTTCGAAACCATGAAAGGAGACACAGCGGGGAGAAGTCCTATGAATGCAAAATCTGTGGGAAGTCCTTCAGTTGTCCCAAGTATTTTCGAAAACACGAGAGAAGTCACACGGGCGAGGAACCCTGTGAATGTAACGACTGTGAGAACGTTCCCGTGAGTCCTCTCGCGATATTTCAAAGACACGTGATGAAGGCCACCGGAGACGGACCTTACAAGTGTAAGGAGTGCGGGAAGGTCTTCGACTGCCCCAATTACTTTCGATGTCACGAAAAGATCCACAGTGGAGAAAAGCCATACGGATGTAAGGAATGTGGCAAAGCCTTCAGTTCTTCCATGTCCCTTCAAAACCACGAAAGAAGTCATAGTAGGAAAAAACCTCATGAATGTAAGGAATGTGGCAAAGCCTTCAGTTTTCCCTGTTCCCTCCAGAAACACGAAAGAAGCCACACCGGGGAGAAACCCTATGAATGTAAACAGTGTGGGAAAGCCTTCACTTACCTCAGTTCTATGCAAAAACACGAAAGAACTCACAGTGGAGAGAAACCGTATGAATGTAAGCAGTGTGGGAAAGCCTTCATTTATCTCAGTTCTATGCAAAAGCACGAAAGGACCCACAGTGGAGAGAAGCCGTACGAATGTAAGCAGTGCGGGAAAGCCTTCATCACTCTCTCAAACGTTCAAAGGCACATGATAAAGCACACCGGAGATGGACCTTGTAAATGTAAGGAGTGTGGGAAGGCCTTCGACTGTCCTAGTTCGTTGCGAACACACGAACGGACTCACACCGGGGAGAAACCCTATCAGTGTAAACATTGTGGTAAAGCCTTTACTCGTTCCAGTTCTCTACGAAACCACGCGAGAACTCATAGCGGAGCGGAGCCGTATGAATGTAAGGAACGTGCGAAAGCCTTCGGTTCCAGTTCTTTCTGAACACACGAGATCACTCACACTGGAGAGAAACGCTCTGTGCACAAACAATACGGTCCAGTCCTACTCGCTGTTACCTTCATATACACGGAACTCCTACTAGAGAGAAACCGAACGGAAGGAAAGTGGCGAAAGCCTTCCTTTATCACAGTCTTCCGAGGACGCACGGGTGCACGCGGGGGAGAAACCATATGAATGTAAGGGACGTGGGAAGGCCATCCGTGCATGTCCGTGAGAAGCCACAGAAGAACCCACACTGGAGAGGGTAGTCTTGAATGTAAACATTGTAGGAAAATTCACTTGCCCCACCTCCTTGCAAAGCCACAAGAGAATGTATAATGGATAGATACTTTATAAAGGAACACCTTCTGATTTTAACAAATGTTTTCAAAGTCCTTTGAAAACTGCACTGGAAGGAAATCCTATTTTTGTAAGTAATATGGGTAAGCCTGCTGCAAATTAATTAGTGTATGACACTCCCCCCAAATTCACATCACGAAAGAAACGTTATTAACAGTATACATAATATTGTCTTCATCAGCGGCTTTTTTTTCTCCAGTTTTATTGGGAAAAATTAACATATTACTGCATAAGTTTAAGGCATGTAGCCTGATGGTGTGATTTACATATTTTGTGGAAAAGGTACAATGGCTCGTTTTTGTTTTGTTTAATGTTTATTTATTTTTGAGACAGAGAGACAGAGAGAGAGAGAGAGAGAGAGAGAGAGAGGGAGCTACAGAATCCGAAGCAGGCTCCAGGCTCCGAGCTGTCAGCACAGAGCCTGATGCGGGGCTCGAACTCACAAACTGTGACATCATGACCTGAGCCAAAGTCGGACGCCCAACCAACTGAGCCACCCAGGGGGCCCCCCTTTTGTTTTTTATTTTTAAATTTATTTATTTTGCGTGAGAGTGGGTGAGGGGAAGGGAGAGAGAGAAAATCTCAAGCAAGCTCTGCACTGACAGTGGGCTCGAACTCACAAACCATGAGATCGTGACCTGAGCCGAAGTCAGATGCTTAACCGACTGAGCCACCCAGGTGCCCCTACAGTGGCTCATTCTTAAAGGAATTCTCTGTAGTTTGGATTTCTACTTTAGTTTTGCAAGTAAACATTGAGGTGGGAAAATATTACAGGTACTCACGAAGCAGCAGATTCTGAGTTTAACAGGTAAAATTTTCCACTTGGTAAAAGGCTAGTGTTTCTATTTGGATGACTTTTATCCGTGGACGAACCGAAGTCTATTTCCAACATGCAAGCAGGTTTAATTTTTACATAATTTTTTCCTTTTTCTGTAAGGATAGGGCTATTGAGTAATGACGTGTTATCCTTAAAAATAAACTGCCAATTCTTCAGCAAAAATGAGTTTTGCAGCAATAGAGAAGTGCAGTTCCGGACAAGGAAGCCATGCATGGTCATGGCCATCGGCAACCGGAGGACAAAGGAGAGGAGTGCTCCTCCTATAGAAGAAAGCGGGGGACTTAGGAGGGGCTGTTCTGAACAAAAGTTTGATCCGAGCACACCGGGGGTTCAAAATACAGCGGCTTTTCATTGGCCGAGTCGTGACTGTGTCATTGACTGGCCTGTTGTGGGGTGAGGAGGAACCCTTTCTTCTCCTGCAGAGGTAATAAAGTAGTCGCCAAAGTGGTATTTCAGGGTACGTCCCGTCCCGTTGAGTGCGCACCTGAGGAGCCACAGGGCTGGGAACTTCTGCTGAGCTCCTGACTCCTGACATTTTCAACAGGTTTCCTTTTGTCAACTTTTACATTTCGTCCTTTGGTCGAGATCTTTCTTTGAACGCGTTGCTGCTGAAGAGTCAGGCTTTCCACTTTGAGTGGTTTTCTCTTTCAGGGCCTCCATTAGAAAGAAAGCGCAGGGGGCGCCTGGGTGGCGCAGTCGGTTAAGCGTCCGACTTCAGCCAGGTCACGATCTCGCGGTCCGTGAGTTCGAGCCCCACGTCAGGCTCTGGGCTGATGGCTCGGAGCCTGGAGCCTGTTTCCGATTCTGTGTCTCCCTCTCTC